TATTGTGCAAATAATTGACAAAACAATGATATATTTTTAGATGTTATGCATATTCTACGTATACATTTACTGATCATTTTTTAGCATTAATACATTTATTTTTATTTATGTATAATCGTATACGAGATAGAAAAGTAATCCCGAGTGATGCCTTAATTTAACCATCCAATTTTTAGAATGCGGGCAGATCGTATCTGTGTGCGTGCATAATTTTTGTATTTTTTTATTATAATATAAAGGATACATGTTGCGTGATTAACATTCGATAAAAATTTATAGCGTGAGATTTAATGAATCATAACACGATAATCTTCATTTCTTTTTCGATGTTATGCAACTTTTAAAGAATACGTGTATTACTTTAGTGCTTAATATAGAACCAATTTCTGTCATCATATAGATGAGTAAATTTCTATAGTAAGAGTAAAAGTGGAGCGGTACTCTTTTATGTAGTACCGTCTAGAACGTTCTCTCTCTTTTCTCTCTCTCGATATATTCCGTGCAATTAGATAGATGAGAGGCAATGTTATACGCTTGTGCGATACGAAATATCACCGTTTAAAACTCCTTTGATAAAGGATGCTAATTTGTCGAGGTTGAAATCGCTTTGATTTCATGACATTGCAAAGTGACGGCTTACTCGATTTAATTCAATTCAAATTTAATTTATTTCATATAAAACTATGATCATTAAATTAAAGAAAAATTTCTTAATATTTTTTTTAAATAGAAAATCAATCGATATGATTGGCAATTTATTTTTTTATTTATTGCCGGTATTAAGAATAATCAATATAAAATAAATTACATTAAGCAACTATGACTTTATTATATATATTATTATATATTTTTGTTTAGATTTAATTTATGACAGCTGTTTTGAAGTACACATATTTGGAATATTAAGTCACAAAAGTTGGATTCAATTGCATTACGTTAAAGCCATGTGAATTGAACTCGTTAATTTATATAGAAATGGATGCGCATCTGACATAAGTGTGCCGTTTATTTCTCATGGTAAAAAGGTTAACGCGCGCACAGTGACAAACACGACGTCGGCACGCGTGTCACCACGTCTTGTCAAACATCAATTACGTGTGCAAACAAGTTAACATAGAGGGATGGTGCTCGACCGGCAAACATTAAATACATGCATTACCCTGAGACATGCTGACACAATGACCGACACTATCGCTGGTCCTCAACCTTATTCGTGCTAATGCAGATTATATAGAATAAAATTAAAAGAAATAAACGCGAACAAAATATTTGCATTTCACCGCTACAGAATAAGATTACAATTGACTCTTCAATGCAAAAATTTATTTTCAGCTGGTTGTTTTAATCTTTCATGTTACGTGAATTAATTATAAAAGTAAAATGAGATTAGTGTGATTAAAAAATAATTTTTTATTAATACGAAATATAAATGTATTCCAAAACACTTTGTCTTAAATTGAATTCTAAGAGCTGAAGTGAGCATTGCATAAATGTTTAATATAATTTTTTTTATCTGTTATGAATTTATTGAGCCATAATTGTAAATAGTAGATTAACATTAATATATGATCAACTACATTTGTCTTTTCTTTTAATATTAAAGTAATTAGTATTAATTATGTATAGAGAGAAAGAGAGAAAAAAGTATTTGCGACCAATAATAATTAACATTCGCCAATACTTTCTTCAATTCATATATTTTTCATCTTCTTCAATTCAACACATTCTTTTTCAACATTTCATATATATATATATATTATTATCAATAACATTAATAATTAATTTGTCGTAATCGTATTAGACCTTCCATTATACTTATATAGAATCGTCTAGCTAAAATATACGCGCGATGTCAAAATACATAATGCGGGATAGTTTTAATCCCAAGGAGAAGCTTTTGTGCCGCGCAAAATTTGTGCTTCGCTCCTGCATCGGGATTCTGTCGCGCGCAGGAGCAAAAGGGCCGAAATTTCGCGGAGAATCCAGTTCCTTTGTCGACACATCCGTATCTCGCGAGAATTATAGCCGAGTTAGGGTATAGGTACGCGGCACGAAACGGCCCGACTTAAAATCTAAGTAGTCTCACATCCCTCGGAGCGGGTCACAGATAGGAGAAGATAGAGGTAGAGCCCGGGAGGGATCGTAGAGGGTTGCCCAGGATGGCAGAGAGAGAGAGAACCGTGGGACGGCAAGAGTGAGTGGAAAGGGGGATGAACGGAGGGAGGGGTTGGCGAAGAGGGATGCTGGGATGCCGAGGGGAGCATCCGGGATCTCGGAGGGTACATGGGGCGGTCGGTCGTCATGGATACGCTCCCGGCTAACCCTGTAACCGCTCCTCCCTCGTCATTCTACGTTTTCGCAACTACCCGCCGCCATCATCGACCCACCATCTTGTCTCGAACCCTACAAGTCTCGTCAAAATTTTGAGACGGTCCTTCGAGATGCGCGCAACTAAAGATTTCCCTTAGCATCGTCAGAAAAGATGGATGTCATTTATTGGGGTTTTAGAAACCGTGATGATCATTGAACTTCGAGGCAAAAATGATTTTGAAAATAATGTTCATTTCATTGTAACGTATTGAAGAAATTATAACGTGTTACTATAACGTATTGCATCGTAAATACATTATTTTTCAAACCTACACCGTATTCAGGGTAAACGACTTATTTAAGGAATATGAGAATACGATTAGTCAGACATAGTTTTTACTTTGGCACGAGCGGTGTCAATTATTTTTTTTTTTTTATTACATGTTGGAATGCAATCTATAAAGAAAAATGCCAATGCGAGATATGAAATGCATTAATTAATATTATTAAAACTCAATTATCGTTAACAAGTATTAATGTATTATTTTTTAGGTACACATCATAAAATTACCTACCGCAAATAAAATCAAATAAAATAGTTAATTGAAGAGAACGTTGCAGAGATATTACTTTGCAAATTAACAAACATCATGCTACGCGGTGTATTCAATAACAATATTTCAGCCAATTATTTCAGTGACCTTACTGTCAGCGCGAGATGAATTAACGAGAAACGTGTAACGGAGCAAAAAAATCGAAGTCGGCGCGACTAATGCAAATACGCATCCTCGATCTGGATACGTGTGCGCGCGATTCAGAATTCGCGTTCAGGAAAAATCGATCGATCGATCGATCGATCGGCAAAGGTGACCGCGTCGTGCCATTAAACGTATCCACCATCGGACGAAAGTTTTCGAGTCGCCGATAAATTTCGGCAACGGCGCGCAGGATATTGCTGCGGCCGTGGAAAGCATTTTGCTCGGCTGGCAGCGACGCAACACCCTCGCAACACGAATCCCCGAGTCGTATTCGAACATCCCTCTCCTATCTCTCCCCTTCTTCATCTCCTCCTCTTGTTCCGTCGTTCTCCCCTTCCACTTGGCCGTCTCCTCGCGGCTCTCGCGGGCGTGGGCGGCAGATAACGTGATTTACACTGGTCGGGTAATTAATGTCCTCGGCGACCGGTGCTTTAAAAAAGCAATCGGAAATCGGCGACAACGAAGAGCAACAGTCAGCCCGCCGGCTGCTGCTACTGCCGGATGACAAATTATCGCGCGCGAGACCGTTGCCCCGTTTTTTTTTTCGCGTTTCTCTTGGCACGAGAGAGAACATCGCACGTGGTAGTGTGACACTCATCTTTTACCGGTACTTAATAAATTTCGGAAAGAGATACCGCGCGAGATTCCGTTATCAACAGCGAGAATGCCGCGCTGCATTTTATTTCATTTTCGATGTATATAAATTTGATATTATTCGAATTAATTAAAAATGAATTGATTAATATTGCGAAATTTATATGATAAATTTAGAGAGCTTTTTTCGATCAGGAAAATCAAAATTAAGTCGCAATTTCAAAGTATTGATGATCGAATAATGATACTTTTTTTAGTCTTACTTTGAGAAACGAAAGAAAAATGGATGCAAATATTTAATGTAAAATCCGCTGTATAGTAATAATTTTGTTACATTTCTATTAAAAAAATCAACATGTCTCTGGCATCCCAGAATAATTATATGAATGAAAATTAGATATACATATACACATCAGACACACACATTTAATATGAACACGCGAGCACCATAAATCGCTAAAACACGTTCTGTGCAATCTTAATGTCGCGTGTGCTTCATTGTCGTTATCATTGTGGGAAAATACGAGGGCAAATGCGGTTCTTACTCTCATTAACCGCATTACATCATCACGACGCATATCAGATGTGATCGATGGTATCTTCGTAGTACTTATACCGGGTATAAACTTGTGGGTAATCAGCTTGCGTGCTTTTCCACGCGTTTGTGCGTGACCTTACGCTCGCGGCGTTACGGTGACAACAATTTCGCATCGTCAAGCAATAAATTACACTTTAATGCATATCTCACACCTGTCTGTTCACTTGATGTATCGTGTCCAAAAAACTTTTCATATTAATATTTCTTTATATTACTTAATAAACATGGACGTGTACAAAACACTAAACGTCTCAACAAAATTCAAAAATATAAGAATCTGATTTTTCTCTCTCTAGAAAGGAATAAATGACACTATGTATACCAAAAATATACTTGATAAATTTTCTTGTTTTACGAAAACAAAATGTTATCCAAACTTTGGCTTGTATATTTTTACGTGCAAATCTCCTTCGCACGTAGCCTATAAATTCTGTACATCATCGTATAATTTCTCTCGCATAATTATTGATAAAAAAAGATTCGAGGCTTCTACCATGAGCGTCCGCAGGAATTTTTTCCAGAGAGGGAGATGATTAAATTTTTTTGTCTCCTATTATATTATTCTTCCTTAATTTTTTTATTTTAATATTTTTTATATCAAATAAAATTGCAGATAAATTCCAGTGTTTATTCACAAGAAAGGAATAAACGCTTAACTTTTTTACTGATTTCTAGCGGACGCCCATGGCTTCTACACATGTAAGAAAAAAATGAGGGAAAAAGCTATATTATAGACTTACCGGTGATGGAGGCGGTGGGCGAAATGGTGGACGGGTTGGCGCGCGGTGGCGGCGAAAACGCACCCGCGAGGTAACCGCTGCGATCGGCGAGGGCCTGCTTCGCCTTGTCGACGCTCTCCTTGAGCCGTTGAAAAGTGCTGCCGCAGGTGAGGCCGCGATACGGCCAGTTCTCCTGCTTGACCCCGGCCGCGGTTACACCGGCGGCGGCCGCGGCCGCGGCTCCAGCCCCGGAGGCTCCCTTTAATTCGAGCGCACCTGCGTACGAACAGCTAGCGCTGTCGTACATCACCAAAGAGCCCCTGGAATCCCAAAATTATTTCTAGAGAAAAATATCTATGCCGTTGACATTAATAACTTGCGAAAGGAAGTAGGATGGAATAAGTAGGTCATATACTGGTATCAAGCTGTCTTTAAATAAATAAGAGACTCTTTGCGGCAGGACGCGGATGTAGACTCTTTTTTTAGAAGAGATTTATGGAAATTCGAGAATTATGCGTTTGAGCTCCTTCTTTCATTCATTGATTCAGAAAGAAGTCTCAACGAGAAACATCTGTACGTCGACGTTGACTCCGTTTCGTTTCAATTGAGTACTTCCTGTAGAATATTAACATTGTAACTCTCAGAAATAAAGTTTGCGTCGCTGTGCAAATTAACTAGCAGAGTGCTATTGATAGGACGTCAGTGGTTTGATTTAATTTAGACAAGTTGCGAATCAAAAATCGAAGAAAAAGTTCATCCTGTATTGCTCACACGTGAGCCTTATCTACGTTACTAAGCTCTTTCGATTTATTAAAATGGATAGCAGGTTAAAATGCAATGCAGGGTCGAATAAAGCAAACCTACGTTACTTTAAACTGACAGCACTCATGCTCATGCAGATACCGCAGTTGGGGTCATTAAAGGACCCTTGAAACATCCGGTAAAGGCGAAGATCGAATTAAAATAGATGATCATATGTGTAAAAATATATCTCTTATCTTTCAATCTTTCAGCGCGATAAGCGGCTTTTAACTGTGATTAAATTTGAGCCATATTCTGGTTGCAAATTTATCTCTGACGTTTTTCTTCAAAATTATTAATGCTATATTTCATTTCTATTATTTCTTCTATATATGATTTTGTAAATAGTTCAAATTTTCAAATAGTTTTCAGATATAATCAATTCCGATATTACAAAACAGCTGCCACTTCTAATCATTAATTTTTTATAAATTATTAAAATATATATATATTTCGGAATCATATTTTCTAAAAAAAAAAATAAAATAAAATAAAGATTCAAGATAAGATAAAGTAAGTCATTTATTAAAATCTTTTCTTCGTTGTACCTTTTATGATATCTTACGGTTAATCAAACAAAATAGTCAATAGATAGATACAAAATTTATTTTTACAGCTGATTATAAATCAATCAAAGCTGCATACTGATAGGAAAATTAATTATTATATATTAGCATTTTGATTCAAATTGCCATTTCAATTGTAAAGGTACAAATTCCAGAATAGAAAATATTGCTTCAAGTTTATTTTTATTCTTCTCTATTTAGATTCAACGAAACATTTATTAGATTTTTGCGCACATTTTGTAAATTGACTGCGACGTTTCACACTTCTTTATGTTTTCACCCTTTCACAATATTTACTTTATCAAAAAAGATAAAATGACCAGAAGCATAAAAAATAGTAGATTTTATGCATGTAACAGTGGAGAGTTTCTAATCGAACTCGCGTAATTTAGAAAACACATCGGCCTATCATCTACATTTTATCGATGACGCGGCCTCGAACTTATAGTCGTCAAAATTGCGAAAACGATCCACGATAGAATTTGCATGAGGTCCGTTGTGATCGTATCTCGCAGCAATTCCGCAACGGAGAACGCGGAGATAAGGGACCGGCTATAATATTAAAGCTTGTCGTTTATCGCGAGTCCGCTTCCGTCTAATCTTGAAAATCTGCCACTTCCGCTATCCCTTCCCTTATTACATAAATCATTATTCAAACGAAATGATGCCGCACAAAGCTGCCCGACCGATCCACGTGGAATTTATGCAAACACGTGAGACTCTTATCGTGTTACGTTAGAGAAAATATGTAGATAGAGAAATTATCACAAGTGGAAAGATTTATTTCGTATATAATTTCACCATTCTTCGTAATTTACTCGAATGCGAATTATTGATCGTATTTAATTATAAAAAAATATACTGAGAATTATTTATTTTAAATTTTTGTAGAATGCTTTCTCATTAAACTTGGTATATTAATTTGTATTCCTGTATATAATAAAACTTCAGTGCTCAAAATTTTTGAAATTCAAAACTTTGATAATGTACATACAAAAATACATGCAACAAATTACAAATCATAGATTCGTTAATTTGAATTATACCTAGATTTCTTTAGCATTTAAGTTACAAATCTTTAAAATAAATACTTGATCTTGTGTTCTGTTTACAAAATTATATAAATTTTTATTACTTTTATATCACAAATATATTATGTTATAATAATTTTTTTTCAATAAATGATATTGCGTGCTAATTTTCTATAAATCAGTTTCTTTCGGACTAACATACATATGCGCGTTTCGATTTGTTTTAATTACCTTCAATCACTGTGACAATTTTCACGATGAATCTGTACGCGTTTCACTGTCGATGTGCAGATCGTTCAAACGTTACTTTTTTCCTTGGGATTAATAGAATAATCCAGCAAAACGCAAAATGCAGCAAAATCTTTTTTCGATCATCTCCAATATCGTCGGTTATCGCGAAACACGTTAGTTAATATTCGATCGGAATGGTTAAAGATAAAAGCACTCTCGTGGGTACGTCCGGATATCCAGCTCGTATTGAGGTCAATCTAATCACAAAACTGTCACATAGTCACGCCGTTCCGCGACACGACGAGCGCGCAGCCGGATTGTCTTTACGGTCTTTCTGTCAGATAGTTTAAAATCCGAATCGAACGATAGGTCGTCAGGGATATTGTAGACCGCAGATTACTCGCAGATGATCACCATTTTTAATACTATGTATCGAGACTTTGTTCCGTTTATTAAATGACAGCGTTCACAATCGATCGTTTCGATCACTCTTGATCTTTCTGTTATCAATATTTTTAATTGCTTATACAGGGGTTATCAAAGTGGCGCTAATAAATATATACTATCTAATATTTTAATAATGTAATAAGTGCTTTAATTTAATATTCTTGTAAGTAACATAATGATCTACATGAACTGAAATATATATATATCAAGCGATAAAAATTGGATAAATATTTTTTTATTGAATTAAAAATAATGTTTCGCTTTACATCACTTGTGTTGTTAAGTGACAGTCACATCAGAAAATTTGAATCAGCATTAATTTCGACGAAATTGAAATTTTCGATACAGAAAAATGTATTTTACGCCTGTTGTGCAATTTCCATTGTCGGGAATAATTCACACTCATTATATCGAATAAAAAATAACGTTGTCCGAACAGACCGCGTGTTCATCATACGAAATAATTATCCTGTCCTCTCTCTCGACGCGCGCCGACAATTTTGTTTCTTCACGCACTCGCTCACTGCACACGTTATCTTTTTCTTTTCTATTTTTTATCCGCGCTTTTTCGGTCGACGTCACTTTTCGGTCAGGTGTCCGACACGGAGATAGCTGGACCGCGGTATCAAGAAGAAGGTACTCCGGGCAGGTTGTCTCGCGCAACTGCGGTCGCCGCGGGCAGCAAATTGCCTGCTTCCGGGCCTCATTACATCACTCTGTTACTCTGTTAACGCTCGCCGGAAACCCCTCTGCCTACCTCGTCTAAATTCTCGTCTCTCATATATATGTATATATATATATATATGTATATATATATATATCTATACACACACATCATTTAAACGCACCGTCGCGGACGCGACATAGGCGCGCGAGAGAAAAAGCCGGTCGAAATCTTCGGGAAAACATTTTCCGATGCCGTACGACGACCGCGGAAACATACGTGACACCTTATTTCCAATCAAAGAAAACAATTAAACTTAACCTCGTAAGACTTTTTTATGTCTCAAGAAGCTGAAGAAAATAAGCGACATACAAGTTGCAGTGGAAAAATAGAATATGAAGAATAAATCCTCGTCTTTGCAATTTTTTATACGTAATAAAATTATATCAATATTTTTTTTTTCACGAGAAAAATAAGCTAAGGCAATGACACATGATAATAAATAGCACCATTTAAAGTGAAAATGATATATTATCCGACTTATATCAGAGCACGGATTAATTCCTTATAATAACATATATAAATATGCGTGCAAAATAATTAATTTCTCTCGGTATGTGAATGAAAAATTTGCATTTTTGTAAAAGAAAAAAAAAACGGAGTAACGGTGACCGCGATGCGTAACGCAAGGGGACAACGTAGTAGTCGGACACGCGCGATAATTTCGCGTTGGTCAATGCGTGCACTCGCCGTTTAGTTCGTAAAACGTGCGTGGCGACGGAAACGCGTTTATATGCCTGCTCTTATACATGCGTAAGATTTCGTAAACGAATTACCGGGACATATAGTTTTCGCGCTTTGTCAAAGTGCTTTCGTTCGCAAATTTAATTCTCAGCTCTCACATTGAAGTTTTATCAGATCTCAACTTAAATGTACGATTCCCAATCACGAAATTTAAACTTTTACTACTCTCAAAATTTTTTGTATTTATGCACAGTATCTATAGCATTATCTGTAGAATTATTTTTTTCTAATTGTTCTTAAAATATTAATGCAAAATAACTGAGAACAAATGTGTGTAATTAAAAAGTTATTTGCTTTAAATTATTTTAATTGTATAATTTTTAAACTCCTCTTATATTACATATAATATTTCCTTCTTTTTCATGAAAAATATATTTGAGAAAGCTAACATCTTACGCCATTTATAAGAATCAAATTTTATATTTTTCATTATGATAATCTTTATTATTTTAACACGCACAGAGCTTAAAAAATGAACAAAGAAATAAATGAGCAAACTTGCTACTTTCAATCACAAGATAACAAGATTAATATAAAATAATTAAGAAATTATTAAATGAAACAAATGATTAATTAACATTGCTTGCTAAAAAACTTTTTAATATTGGTATACTATATACCTATAGAAGTAATATATATTTTTTAAATACATATTTTATATATTAAAGAGAATGAGAAGATAAGATGCGATTAGATAGCGTTTAACAAGTTGAGCAGAAAAATAGGAGAAATTTGTGGAAAAGTATAAAGTTTTCAAAGAAAAACGTCCCTGGAAAATTGCCATAAATCCGCGGTTGCACCATGCAAAACGATCGCGGCCAGTTTCGGTGTTATCGATATTGTTTCCTCGGTGAGAGACATCGTCGATGCGACGGAAGCGCGCGGCCGACAATCTTCGGTTTCCTCTCTCTCGGCATTCTTTTTCGAACTTCTCGTCATATATGTAGGCGTGAAAAAAAAAAAGCGTTCGAACTACATATCAAAAAACTCGAATTATCACTTACCGTCAGTGCGGGGGCCTACGTGATATCTTGTCCAGCACTGTCAGATCCAGTTCGATCCCCCAAATATCTCCCTTGCTCGTCGATAAATACTCGACTCTCACGGTCCCTTCCCGAGATTTCTTCGGCCCTTCACGTATTTCACTCAGACTCCTCACTGCATTCGCACCGAGAATACGAAAAAGGCTCGGCACTGAAGGCTCGCGCGAGGGAGGCAGAAAAAACGCGTGTATATTCGCGGCGGAGAAAAGCGTACAGATGAGCTACCTTCGCGGAGATAATCGAAGATTACCGGCGCTCGCTCGCCGGGGCTATCCCGTGGAGTTTGTCAGCGCGCGTGGACCACTCGGTGGCGGACTCGGTCGCGGCGCGACGGACGCACATTTGGCAGAGCGTCGTTATCAGTCGCGGTCCGACGATTGGCTGTATCGGAGCCTGCGCCGGTACGTCCTCCGCGGGGGGAAAAAGCGAACGCGCCCGAGAGGGAGACGGAGAGACGCGGCGACGAGGGTGGCGAACGAGGGTGGAGAACGTGGAAGAGGGAGAGATATCGCCGCTCTCGCCCCCGGGACACGGAGTCGGCTCCTCAGAGGCGGGATCATCCACCAAGCCTTGCTCTGCTCTTCTTTCTCTCTCTCTATCCATCTACCCTCTCGCTCTCTGTCTCCTTCCGTCCGTCCGTCTTTCTCCACCCTCATCCCGCTACTGTTCTCCTTCGGTCTCACCCCGCTTCTTGCGTTAGAGGTATACGTAGGTAGGTGGGAAACGCGGCGGAAGGCTTCCCGTGGAGCGTCATACGAGACGGGCGCGATATCCCCTACGGTGCTTTTATTATTATTGATGCCGAGGATACCGGCGTATAAGCGCGATAAGCGCCGGTGGAGACGAGCGAGAATGGATTGACGCCGATCGTGTCAGGGTTGATCGTGTCGAGCGGGCTGGCAGGTAGCGAAAACGCCTCTCCGGTGCTGAAAGCTAATAATAAAGTACACGTTTCTAAACACGTACCGTCAGCGATTTTCCGCGAGCGACACGGATGTGCTTTCGGAGTAACACCGCCGAGAGTTGCTCCGAGGAAAGGGATGAGGGAGAGATTGACGGCGATGGAAATAAATCGGCTTCTGTAATCGAACTTTAGGCCATAAATTAGGAACTGAAGATGAGTTCTCACTCACTCTTCTGATTGTGAGTAATAATGGAACAAAAATTCTCTTTTTAAATTATATTAATATCATGAATATTATTATATTTTTCCGCTGCATTTTTTCTGATAAAAATTTAGTTGTAATTATTACACGATTTTCAAACACAACGAGGAAAGGGAGACAAATATATGCGACATATTATATGTGGAGAAGCAAAAAATGATCGAACCTTTGTTGTACAATCTTGTGGAGTTGAATAAAAAGGAAGGAAGGGGATGATGGAAGGGAAGAAAGATTATTTATTACGCGCCGTGAAATGAAGAAAGAAGGGTGCATCTGTACCTAGAGAAACCGATGATCGCTGTCGCACCGATGACACGGTTGGAACGTCCAATTTGTTTGATTAATATATCAGCGATATCGCGTGATCAACGCGCGAGATCGGCCGTGCGAATAGCGAGCCGTATCTACTTGTACTGAAAATTATCTGATCCACGCGGTGGAGTAACAACGGGGGCGCGACAGGCCGGACACGTGCCTGGTATACGATTTTCAAAGGGCAGCCCGGGCACAGGGGGTAGCATATATTCATAGGTATCGCGATAATAATGTATCGTTATCGCCACCTTCGTTAACCAACTCGTGCACCATCGGCAGCGGCGGCGGCGGCGGCAAAATCAATGCTTTGATTTAATAGAATTCCGTTTCGTTATCCCGCGTTGCATAAAACTCACATCGCAGATAGATACATACACACGTGCGCAAATGTCAAAAATTTCCATGCCGCGAAAAACCGATATATCATCCGTTTAAACCCGATAGAAACAATGAAGTTAAATAAAGATGCTTATTCAAGAAAGAGGGAGAAGAAGGAGAAAGAACATGTGCTATTATCGCGGTGACATTTTTAATTCCCCAACTTTAAATTGTATTGAAAAATGTTATAAGCTAAATCATCCGAAACGGGACAGTTAAATTTGTGTCTATTGAATTTAATTTAAATGTATCATCAATTTTTAGAAGCTTCTGAATATTTCTATTATTTTAATATTTAACATAAATTAAAGGTAAAATAATTTATACACCTTAAATATTCTCTTGTTTAACATTTTCTAAATTACTGTATTTTCGAATATTATTATTTTAAGATGATATGATAAAGTTAAGCTTATTTTAATATCAGCTACATTGTATGCAAGTAATATAGAAATACATATAACTCTGTATAAAAAAAACATTGATGATCTTGAAGATTTGAAAAAAGTGATTGTAGAAGAAGATTATGTTGACAAAATTTATTTAAGTTTCCTGTTTTTAATGAGTAATAATGGTTAAATTTACACCATTTACGAAAAACAGACGATAAATATATCCCGCATGAATAATAAAAATTTCGTTAGATATGAAGTTATAATAAATGAAGTAAACTATTATTTTATCAGATACTTTTACTATTTAACCTACTATTGAGTGACTTATTATCGTTATTATTAATTAATGTTTGATTATTATTTTTATCTCACCATCTCTTTAAACTTGTATCAAAAAATTCGAGGATTTTTCATATGCAATTTATTTCTGAATAAATATCTGATTTGACGTATATTTTCGAGCTTCCAAGTTTCGTGAGATTGTTTAAACGGTTCTGTTGTAAGCTCTCTTTACTTCAGACACTCCTAACGATGGTCATTGCCGTTGTTCCGCTTCCTATGGCTCTCATGAGTAATGTCGTATCTCTTCGTTCATGCGTAAAGTTTCCGATCGTCGGACGAGAAGCGGTGTCAATCGTGCGAGAAACATCAATGCATTGTACGACTGATCGTGATCCACGCGATTCGAAGTGCATTGTCATGTAAAAATCTCGCCGGTCTGATAGTTTTATTCTTCGCAAACAACAACATATCCGAACCACACACGAAATGTTGTATTTTCAAGTAGAAAAAATCGATCTTTTTGCATTAATTTTATAATTACATTTTTTAGTGTTGTGAATTTTTTAAAATACCAATTTTATTTATATAATGCACTATTACTTACGTTAGAAATGTTTCTGT